GTGACCAATAAGTATGTGACCTAAAAATGTGTCATTTGCCTATGATCCACAATTATTATTACTATCATCATCATCATCATCATCATCATCATCATCATTATTATTTTACGACTATAATTGTGTGTGATTTGTAACGGTGACCTAATTAATTAAGTTATGTCCCAAACTTTATTCGAAGGTCACAAAATGTGACCAAATTTTTATCAAAGATTACAAATTGTGATCACCCGATTTTTGAAAAAAAAAATCACAGATTTATTAATTTTGGAAATGTAACTTGAAACCTTTGTAATTGTATAATTGTCCCTTGTACTTACCTGCTACAGTAGACGAACAGATGACGAGAGAAATTGTGGAAAATTTCTTCCCAAAATAAAAGTGTTTTGTCTGTGAGAGAGGATAGAGGAAAAAAAAAAAGAAAAAAAAAAGAAGAAGAAGAAGAAGAACAACTTGTTTGGCGTATATTGTTCACATTATTTTTTTGTAGTAAGAAGTGAATGCGCGAGAAAAGTTGTATTTAATGTATTTTCACAATTAGTTATAGTGTTATTCTCCTGTAATCATCAGTAGATTCATATTTTTCTCTTTCTTGCTCTCTTTTGTGTGTTTTTATTCACTATGTTGATGGGATTAATTTTTACAACGGTATCAAAGCTCAAGGTTCAAACTCTGGGATATTGCATCGGAGAAGATCCCAAGTGCAAAGTTTGAGGTGAAGAATAATTTCGGTATTTAGCAGAGTAGCATTGAAGATATTCTTGTACATGGAATTTATAAGTTTTCGCAGGGTATGAAGCAAGAATGGATGGAAAGATGCAAATTGAAAGAGTCGGGAAAAGAAGACAGTCAGTAGTATCATATTAACTCTTCCATCCGGGGTAAAGCTTAATGTTTTGAACCAGAAATCTCCTTCTAACTTGGTTCGGCTTAAAATTTAATTAAAATTTAAGTTATCAATAATTATTTTAATCTCACATTTTATAGGATCTATAACTTTTCAACCACTCTCCATCAATTTTTAGCAAAATTTAGTAAAAAAACTTACTTTTATCTAAACCAAGAATGGGCTTAATAAGTATGTTATTGAGTTGTTTAGTTTTGCATTTAAGGTTGGAATAAAAATAAGAATATGATTTTGTTGACTTTCTAGCCTAAGTCGTACGAGACATTGTTGACCATATTATTAGTTGGAAAATCTACTTGAACCTAAATGAGGTTTCAACTACTTTGTTATAGACAACCAACATTAAAAAGTCAATCGGTATTGTGAATGATGATCAAGATCTTTTGATATATTCTGATAGTAAGCATGGTAGAAGTGAAACGTGAAAAATAAATTATGATTAGAGTGATCTAGTCTTCAGTGTTTCATTGAAGTGGTGTATATTCCTTAACAAGTTTTTGCGAGAAGGTGGCTCGTTCTTGATTTTATTGATAAGGAAAGGGGAAAAGCAAAGCTCCAAGATATCATAGCCTATAAAGCTCGAATGAATAATTTGATTTGACTATGACACAAATGAGCAAATGAATTCGAAGATAGATATGCTAAAACGAGCCATTAGCTTGTGAAAGCTTGTTAAGTGATAAACAACACTCTAGTTAAAATATTAAAGTGTAGATCACTCTAATAATAATTCATTTTTCACACTTCACTTCTTCCATGCTTACTCTCAGAGGTTGCCAAAAGAACTTGATTACCATTAACAATGCTAGTTGATTTTTTAATGTTAGCCACCTCAACCGAAGTAGTCGAAAACTCATTCAACTTCGAAGTACGATTTCCCAACTGGTAATGTGGTCAACGATGTCTCATACCACTTAAGCAAGGAAGTCAACAGAATTATAGTCTTATGTTCATCCAATCTTAAAATCAACACCAACTCAAAAAATACTTATTAAGTCCTTGTTTGGTTTAGATAAAAATCATTTTTTTAGTAAAATTAGATAAAAGTTGATAGAATGTGTAGTTGAAAATATGTTAATTCCATAAAATGTATAATTAAAATTACTTGTTGACATTGAATTAATTCTTAATCCAACTTGTTAGTTGAACCAAACAATGGCTAAACAATTCATTGGGTTGAATTAAATACCACTTGTCAAATAAAAGGCATGCCACGCTTAGACGAATTATTATAATCTTATTGGTATTTTATTTAATAAAAATTACCTGAAACCATGTTTTTTTAGTTCTAATTTCATTAAAAGGCATTAAATTTTTTCTTTAAAAAATCAGATGATCGCATAAAATATATACTTAGGTCTGTTTGACGTACACCTGTCTTGGTCTCTTCTGCAACTCCTCGTACGATACGATAATGGTCCTAACAGTGCATGCAACTCGCCAATCGTCATCGTCTTATCTAATATCCAGAATTATCTTCTACCCTCTCTTCTCTCTAAAAAGTAAAATATTATTTTCTTTGTAAAATCATCATAACAAAACATTCCAAGAACTAAGCTACAATCTACACTTTTACAGGCATTCTGCCTTGAGAAGACTCTCTGGTATGTTTTAAGGATCTCTTGTAATTTTCCTGATTTTCGGTTTTATATTGTTTTGGGGCTAAAGGGCTCGAACATGGATAATCATCAATTTATGGTCAATTATAGAACAATAGGCCGACATAGACAAGCAGCAGTTGGGTTTGTTTAAAATTTAACAATTATCTGATAAAAAGTTCTGTTTTAGTTCAACAAGAATTGATTATTTGTGTTAGAACTTGGAAAATCTACCGTATGAGACTGAGAGAATAAAAAAAGAAGAAGCCATTTAGTAGAGTTTGTGTTTCTGTGTTAGCTTCAACAAGATCATTGCGTTTTTCTTTTTTCTTTTTCGGGGATTTTAAGAATCTATTTCCTAGGGGTTTCTGTTATCAAATTCTGACTATTTCTTCTACTAATTTTCCCTATTTTTAGTCACCAACCTTTCTTCTTGCTCAGCCACTGGTCTTTTGTTAATTCTTTTTCATTATTAGCCTGTTTAGCCTCTCTCTGGTTTTGACAAACCATGAGGCCAAACGCTGTCACATCCAGTGTAGAATTTCCAAACCATGTCCTTCAAGCCTTCAGTCCTTCAGTCCAATCCTCCCTCTTTTTCCCCTCTTCTTCTATCAAAAGATGCGAAAGGGTTCAATTTTTCAATCCTTTCATGTCTAGAAATTTCTTCAAGTCTCGTTTTTTTGAGAAGACTCTCTCAAGAAGCCATACAATTACGATTACGCGATCTTGCTGTTCAAATTTGGATAAAATTTTTCACGAAGATCGGTTAGGCAAAGGATTTGGTGTATGGGTTGGTGGAGAGAACGAAGGACATCAAGGAACCAAGCGGCATTGTACAATCCCGGAAAGAAACTCTTTTGATAATGAATTTGGAATGGATGGAAATTCGTTTTCCCCATCTCAATTTTATTTCTTGGAGCCTATGATGCTCGGTATAAGGCCAGATCCACCGGTTTGGCCAGAACGGGAGGCTGTTTTACGGGCAATTATTGAACACAAGGCAAAGAGTTTTGATCTCCCCGTATCCTTGAGGATGATAAAGAAGAAATTGCGAGGGGATGAGGGCTTTATGGATTCTAGAGAGTCAGCAGTGAAAAAGGCATTCACTTCAATGGTAAGCATCATAGTTGAGTTACAGAGCTATGCATTAGGGATGAGAGAAGAGTTATGCCTTGAAGATTTAGAGATGATTAAGGGTAAGGTCCAGAAAGAAATGCATTCATCATTTGTATGGCTGTTTCATCAAGTTTTGTCAAGAACGCCATCTTTGATGATTTATGTAATGGTCGTTTTAGCAAATTTTAGTGTCTACTCTGCTTCCCATAATGTTTCTTTTGCGGCACCCTGTGGATTATTAATTGAAGAAAAACAAACTGGACATTATCCACGAATTGAATCATCAATAGAGACAATTTTGGTTAAGGAAGATAGATATGTAGGAAACATTGGTGGAAAGATGGAAATTGGCAATTCACCAGGGAGCAGTGAGCAGGATTTGAGAAGTGCAGAAGAGGAGAACTTGTGGGATTCCGTGGTGGATGAAGCAACAAAGATGCAATCGAGTTTGAATGATGAAGTTCTTGATCACGACATGGTGCAACATTTTGTTTCCCCGGTGTTTGTGCAGCTCGAATCTGATGAATATGTGGACTATCTTAGGACTGATCTTTTATACCAGATGCACTTGTCTAGGGAGCCAAATAATCCACTTCTGCTTTGCAACTATGCTCAATTCTTGCACGTTGTTGCACATGATTATGCAAGGTAATTAATCAAATCTGCATGCATACTCTATTTTGATTGATGTCATTGGGCTTCTATGTCTTTCTTTGTTCGTAAAATGTAGAAATTTTTTAGTTAAAAGTAATTCTTTTAGATACGTGTTAATTTTTAACTTAAATAGTGAAATATTTACTTGTAATTTTAAGTTATGAGTAATTTTTTTTATTTATAAGTAAATTTTATACTTTTTACAATTTTTTATACACGTGAATTTTTTACTTGTAAATAAACTTTTAATTTATAAGTGAGTTTTGGTCTTATTATTATTATTTTTACGTTGTAAGCAATTTTTGCACAAAAGTGAGTATTTTACTTACAAGTTTTAGCATAACCACTCTAATGTTCCAATACAGATAAGAATGCGTCTTCTTTACTTGTAAAAAGTAAAATGCTGGATTTTGCATGGACACTAGTGAGCCAATATAGATAAGATGCATATGTTATATTAACACATACGGTCAATTTAGTAATAGTATATCTGCTTTTTATTGTAAATGATTTTGCTTTACATAAGTTCTTTGGACCTGATTTTCATTTGCCCTCAATTTAACTTTATACTGATTTTAACAGGTCCGAGGAGTGCTACAAGCGGGCAGTTCAAGTGTTACCACCATATGCAGAGTCCCTGAGCCAGTACGCCAACTTTTTATGGACAGTAAGGAGGGACTTCTGGGGAGCAGAAGAAAGATTTCTTCAAGCGTTGGCTGCTGAGCCTGATAATTCTTATTATGCTTCTAGATATGCCAATTTCTTGTGGAGCACTGGCGGGGAAGAAACCTGTTTTTCCTCTCGACAATTCCCATAGCAGCACAAGAAGTTCAAACTTGTAGAGAAATGGTGTAGCGGACGGCCTGGTTATCATAACATCGTAACAGAT